ATGCGTAGTAGAACCCTCCGAGGATGGAGCTGGGGTGCCCACTAGCTCAGGCACCCCTATAGTCACCAGAATGGAGGTGCGCAGACAGCAAGGGACCAGTGAAGATACCAAAAGAAAAGAATGTCCACACCTTTATCTCAGCGGTTCTGCCAGGAATCTGTGGCCGCTCTGATCCTTCCGCCACGTGGTCTCACCCAAGATGGCGGCTCCTGGCGCAGCCAAGCAGCCCGGACTAGAAAGCAATAGATTTCTTGTTTCTGCCACAGATTCCCCCAGCTGTGAGCCTTCCAACCTTCTAAGTATTCCTTTATATGCAGTTCAGAGTTCTGGGACCAGCCCCTGAACCTGCTTGGTCAGGTATTCTGTGTTGTTGTTGGCGGAGCTCTCTGTTATATGTCCACCTGATCCACCATCTTGTTTGTTCCTCCTCGATTCTGATATTCATAAGATTTTTAATGACTAACTTTTCTGAAATGGTCGTTCTCGCTTCCTACTCTGCCTCAGTCTGGAAGTTCTGCTGAAATCAATTCACCATGGGTGCCCTGCTGGTATTTAAAATACCAGTGGAATTGCTCTAGCATTACAGCAATACACAATTACCACAGTACAACAAACTACCAGATGAGAGGTGGGTGGTATGTGGTATATATGGTTGATTTCATTCAGTCTTCTCAACAACCTTATGAGGCACTATTGTTATCTTAATTTTATAGATGAAAAAAACATGGTGACTATAAATATTAAATAAATTTCACACGTTCATGCAGGTAGAAAATTATGAAGACAGGGTTTGATCTTGATATGACTCCAAAAGGAGCTCTGGTAGTGTAGTGGTTACAAATCGGGCTGCTAACCTCAGGGTCAGCAGTTCAAAACTACCAGCTGTTCCATGGGAAAAAGATGAGGCTTTCTGCTCCCGTAAAGATTTACAGCCTCGGAAACCCTGTACAGGGTCGCTATGAGTGGGAACCAACTCCATGGCACATAACAAGAGCAACAACGTCATCCACTTAACTATTTAGTGGTAACATCAATGTGTGTCAAAACCAAGTACTTGTTAGGAATACACCTGAGAGTTAGATGTCAAGAAAACTCCATAATTTCAAACTTAGTGAAGTTGATGGGATCATCATAATACAGTGTTTTGGTTTTTAGTTCAGATGATAAGAACACTGAAAGAAAATTCAATTTGAGTAGAAGTTATAGATTCTGGAGAAGATATGCATTTAATAGGTAAATTTATGAGTTAAAAATTCCAAAGAGAATTCTGGGCTGGAGAAAGAAATATGGGACTCTTTAGTGTAGCTGAGAATATGATTTAGCAAGACCTTTTTATGAAAAGCATGAATGAAGGTCAGCATGGTAAATTTCAAGAAACAGTTTTTGCTAACCTGGCCATAAAAATTATGCTGTAATCCCCAACTCTGGATCTAGTTAGAAGACAGATAGAAGACTCAAGAGTACCCTGTTTCCTCCTACTCTTTGTATTCCCTGGTTTCTGCATTACAAGCAAACCAAAACCAAACCACTGCCATCAAGTGGATTCCAACTCATAGAGACTCTACAGGACAGAGCAGAACTGCTCAATAGACTTTCCACGGCTGTACATCTTTACAGACTCCCTCATCTTTCTCCCTTGTTGTGGTTGATGGGTTCCGACCACTGACCTTTCAGTTAGCTTACCAATGCTTAACCTCCTGCACCACCAGGGTTTCTGCATTATCAGTAAAAGGTTAAAAAATCAGATGCATTGTGGGTTCTATAGTGGACTTGCCCCCAGAGTGCCAAACAACGTTTATGCAGGGCTTGTTTATTAATGACTGGTTCTGTGGACTAATGTAACTGGTTGTTTTAGTGCCATGTTCTGACTTCAGGAAGACAATTATGCACTCACTCATGCTTTCATTCAGTTTAGGCATTTATTATATACCAGGCATCTTGTAATCCACTGAGGGTACAGATATGAATCACACACACTTATCTGATTTCAAACTTACAATCAATTGAGGGTACAGATAAATGAAAAACCCATTGTAACCCATTACCCATATTTGGAGATTTGTATAAGATGTAATAGACATACAAATATAAGAGGCTTGACTTGCCGGGGAAGACTGTTGTTGTGAAGTGCCGTAGAGTTGGTTCCAACCCATAGTGACCCTGTATAGAGTTTCCAAGGAGCAACTGGTGAGCTTGAACTGCTGACCTTGTGGTTCAAACTGACTTTGCAATCTAGCTCATTAACCCACAACATCATTCCAGGCCAGGGAAGTTTAGTAAAGATTTATCAGGAAAGACAGTTCCAGAACTGAAATTTGAAGACTGTGCAAAAGTTTTTGAGATGGCCTAAGGGTTTGCATTGCTGGGATTCAAGAACACCTGCCTTCATACAAGTGAGTGGAAAGCTACTTGATTCTTTACAAATATTCAATGCATACCTTTGTATTTTAAAAAATTAAACCACCTTTAAATGCTAAATACAAATTATTTTCATTCATTTGTTCATGCCCTCACTTCATGTGGTATTCAATTCCCTATGTTTCTAGAACATACCTGGTCTTCTGAAGATACCAAATGTTCATATCAGAATCATGTATGCTTGATAATCATTTCTGGATTGTGGAAGAGGAAGGTGAGAAGAAGACAGAAAAACAAAAAGAAACTGAAGAAGGCGATAAAGAAGTGGGAGAGAAAAGTGGGAGAAAGAAGAAGATAGAGAAGAAGAAAGGAATAGGAGGATGTTCAAAAGCTCTTCCATTCCTGGGAATTTCTGCATTTGACAACTAGTTTTCTTGATGGAACTGGAAGTGGAGATTCTAGGGAACCATTAGCCCAGAAAGGAAGCATAGCACCAAGCCTTCACCTCAAAGACCCGGTGGGCTATGCCCTCTCGAATCTGTTTAGTCTTCACACCATACACAATAGGGTTGAGCATTGGTGGCACCACCACATAAAGATTAGCCAGTAGGATATGGACATGTCGAGGAATGTTACGGCCAAAGCGATGGGTCAATAAGGTGAAGAATGATGGAACATAAAACATAAGGATGACGCAGAGGTGGGAGCCACAAGTACTGAGGGCTTTGTGCCGAGCATCCTGGGAGGGCAAACGAAATACCGCATGGAGGATGAGTGAGTATGACACAGCAATGAGGATCACATCCAATATGACCATTACAATGGGTACTGAGAAGCCATACCAGATGTTAATAGTGATGTCAGCACAGGCTAAGCGGGCTATTCCAATATGCTCACAGTATGAATGTGGGACGATGTTGGTCTGGCAGAAGGGCAGTCGCTTCAGCAAAAAGATCACTGGGAAGATAATGCAGAAGCTTCGGGTGACAATGGCCAGAGCAATCCTTCTCACAACAGGCCATGTTAGCACTGATGTATATCTCAGGGGAGCACAGATGGCCACAAAGCGGTCAAAGGCCATGGCCAGGAGGATGGCTGACTCCCCAACAAACATCACGTGGACAAAGAAGACTTGAGTGACACAGGCATCAAACACAATTTCATGAGCATGGAGCCAGAAGATGGCTAAGGCCTTGGGCACAGTGGTGGTGGATAGCAAGACATCTGTCATGGCCAGCATGGAGAGGAAAAAATACATGGGTTCATGAAGGCTGCGTTCTGTGATGATGACCACCATCAGGAGACCGTTTCCCAGGACTGCAGTGATGTACATGAGGCAGAGGGGAATTGACAGCCAGATGTGATAAACCTCTAGCCCAGGGATGCCAACTAAGACAAACACTGTAGGGTGGAAGATGGTAAGGTTGGTACGAGACATGATGTGGTCCTCTAAAATGACTGAGGAGCTGATGAGTCTGCTAAAAGGAATAGGAACAGAAAGCATTTCTGAAGATGTGTGGAAATCATCAATGATAGCATAGATTTTTTGGATTTTGAGATACTCCAGCGCACAGTTCCCCAGAGAATGCTTAATTTGATGTAGACATTACTTCTGACCATCAGCACCTCACTTGCTTGTAAAATGTCTGCATGAGTTATGCTTCAAATAGAGGTTTCACCCTGCCTTTAACCTTTGTGAACCCACCCTACTTTTCTGACTTCCTTCTACATGTTTCTGCAGAGGCATTTATCTCCTACCCTTGTTGTATTTGTACTTTTCACTCCTTTTATATCACCTTAAATTTTCTCCTCTTCCTCTTCTACATATCCAAATCTTAACCTTAAAAAGCCTTCTTAAAATTTAATATGATACTTTGCAAAGGCCATGTTCATAATAACATCTCCTTCCTAAAGATCTATTAACTAAACTGTATGTTTTTTCCATTTGATTATATTTAATCATATTAAATTTAGGTAGCTCTTACCTTGAATATTTTACATGAGACTTTCCTAACATAATGGAAGTTGGCGCTCCCTGTGCAAGAAAATAGATTACCAAGTAGAAATCTAGAAGAAGCCTGAAAGAGGTATTTCTTCACTCTGTCCCAGATTAAAATCTTCCCCAAAGACAGTGAGAGGGAGACACGAGGTGAGACTGTGAGATGTTATCTTCATTACCACTTTCTCATAAACTTCTCATGCTTCTCCTCCAAGCAATTCCAAAAGATTCGTGCTTTTGTCTATATATCTTTATTCATCGAAGTCCCACAGGAAAATTCTTCTAAGTAGAGAATCAACACTTTACCCCATATTTGTACATTGGTATTTACCTTTGCTGCAAACATACCTATGAATATGGTGGAGTGTACAGCAGACAAAATGATGAAAACTTCTTAGATATTTTCAAATATCTTATAGCAATGAGTAACTGAGTCTGGGGTTTAGGACCATAGTCTCAGAGGACACAATGGTCAATTGGCATAACATAGTCAACAAAGACAATGTTCTACACCCTGCTTTGGTGAGTAGCGTCTGGGATCTTAAAAGCTCTTTAGTGGCCATCTAAGGAAGGAGCTCTGGTGGCATAATGGTTACGAATCGGGCTGCAAACCTTCAGGTCAACAGTTCAAAACTACCAGCTGTTCCGCGGGAGAAAGATGAGGTTTTCTGCTCCCATAAAGATTTACAGCCTCGGAAACCCCGAACAGGGTCACTATGAGTCGGAACTGACCACGGCACATAACAACAACAACAAGGTGCAACTATTGGCCTCTTCGTATGCGGAAGAAAGAAAAATGATGAAAATTTAAGATGTTTGGAATCAACTAGTCCAATGGACCAATGTGAAATTAGTTAATTAGACAACAACACAAGTAAGGTATGCTCACCAAAGAATGGTCAATCATTTGAGAGCAAAGGGCAACATTTATCTAAGGGCAAAGTTGAGAATGGATGGGAAGGAGGGTGGAATGGAAGCATGAACCACAGGGAAGTGGTATAATTTTTACCATGGAGAAGATTGCAATCATTGAAATGAAACAAAGTGTATGTTTTGTTGAACATAAAACTGATGCTTTTTCCTGAAAAGCTTCACTCAATTCACAATTTTTTTAAAAAATTTAAAGAGCAAAAGGTAATAAATAAACACCAGATATATATATGATAACGGTATCAAGAATGTCCCAGGGAGGAGGGCATGCAAAGAAATAAAAGCCCCAATATATGAATCCATCCCCCTACCTCTAATCAGATGCAATTGCTCAGAGTATGACAGACTCTGGGAGAGAACAATAGAACATCAGGTGGGTTCAAAGAGGACCAGATTCCAACAAGTAAGGATCTATGGCAGACTAATAATTTGGCATCTTCTTGCTCCTAAATGAATGCTAGCAGTTGAAAGTCACCCAGAATCTCCAAGAGATAAAAGTCTACTGTTCGGCTTCCATGAAGATTACAGCCAAGAAACCCCTGTGGGATAATTCTTCTTTGCCACATGGGACCCCTATGAGTCTAAAATGGACTCAACAGCACCAAATAACAAGCCAATCTCTTTTAAATACTGTTCACCTTTTAGATGAAAGGCTCAGCTTTTCTAGGAGAAACACAAAGGTGGGCCCCTGGTGGCATTACTCAGCCTCTATTCTAAAACGCTGGCCCCAAATTTATATAAAGAAAAGCCCTACTAGGAAATAAACCTTTTTTTTTTTTTTTAAGAAGGAAATTTACAAAACTTTTATTTTCGCACCACTTTTACCAATTCCCCCAGTTACTAACGGGTTCTTTCTTAAGACAATAGTAACACCTGATATAAGTTTTCATAAAAACAGTTTCATCTATCTTGACACGGTTCTAGTGATGTTCTATTACTTCAAAAGTGAGACAGTAAAGGTGGGGTGGGGAGAGGAACAGCAAGACCTGGCTGACTATTAAGAAAGTTCTGGGACAAAGCTTTTATTTGAATGAAAGGAAGAATTTTTATTTCATTCAGTAGCTGCCGCTGATTTGGCAAACATGTTTGGTGGTTTCTAGGCTCATTTATCAGAGACTCAAAAATGACAAGAGAGGAAACTTAAAGGCATAAAAAGCCTCACAAAAAGTGCCTTCCATAGTCCTAGGAGGATATCCATCTGAACAAGAAAAGAAGTCCGAATGATAGAGAAAGGCAATGAACCATGTTGTGTGGGAGACAACACAGGGCTGTAGGTGAGGACACAAAACTCCGGAGCCAGACTTCCCAGTTCATTTCCCAGTCCTTTCCTGACTAGTGGATGGTTTTGAAGTTACTTCACTTCTATCTGCCTCAAGTTTTTCACTTGTAAGACGTGAATAACAATAAACTTAGCAAGGTAATTGTGAGGCTTAAATCTTTATATCGTACTTATAAGCATGAGCTATTATTTTTACTTATAACTGTGTGTTTTTTTTCCAGTAGGCAAAAAATATATTTTTTTTTTAACTATTTAGAAACACTAAAGTCATATTTTGCAGAAATATGAATAAAGGAAATCTTTTCCCAGAAAAAAAAAAAGATGAGGGAATGGGAGAAAAGACATTCTCAAGAAGACAAAGAAAGGCAACAAGACCAAACTTCTCAGATGGATCCAGACTCAGAACATACACCTGAGAGCTTTGTTCAATACACCAGGCAATTCCTTAATGCATGGACTTAGCTTGGGTCATTATTACCTTTCCAGACTTCCTTAAATGCTTTGAAAATATCTGTCTCTGTCAGTAGAAACAAAGAGATTCAGTCCATCATGTTAGTATATGGTGGTGTATCATGCACAAACATTATCTCCCATGTTCTTGTGATATGACAGCAAAATTGTGGAAAACCTCAGCTCCAAGCCGCCATCTCTTCCTTTACCAATTTCTATACCAGAAAACTGCATTAAGTTCATGGATAAAATGAATTGAAAGGTAATGGATTTATCCCACTAACTTTTTGAAGATCCCTTGTATGTTTTCTACAAAATGCAAGACAGGGGGATAGAAAGAGAGGATTTTTCAGATGTGGATACAGTTGACATCTAGATTCCCAAGAGAAATTTTCCTCAAGAGCCTTCCTCCTTTTGGGACTGGGGAATCCACAGCCGTAAGCACAAAGCCTAGCACATCATAGGTACTTAGGAACTAGCTGAACAAAGGAAGCGTGGAGTTAGTGAACTAATCTTTCTCCAATAGCTTTCTTATTTTACCAAAAATGAAATGGTGATTAAAAGCTGAATTGTTTTCATAAATAGCCCCATAAATATCCCTATCTTAATTGTGTTTGGTTCTGATCACTCTATAGACTGCCCTGTAACCTACTTTTATTACAAGTTGTTTTATCAGCAAGTCTCTGTGCCCTAGAGTCTCTTTGTGCTTTATTTCATCCCTCTTTGCATTCCCAGTCCTACCTCTAACCAGCATCCACAGCCTACTGACAGACACCTCAGTCCCACAGTCCCACTGATAGCTTCCCCATGGTCCATACGCCCCCTGTGCCCATCGTGCTGCAATCCTTTACTGGAACTTTGATTCATTCATCCCTCACTCTCCCATTGCCTTTCTCCCAGCTCCCAGTCTCTCTCCCTTGCAGCTACTCTTAAACACACACACACACACACACACACACACATACCCCTGCCAATCCCTCCACCTTCAATTCTTTTAAACTCACCTACTACAACAGTGTGGTGCTGTAGGATAAGCACTGCATTGTTAACACAAGGTGGGTGGTCCAACCCACCAGCTACTCCTCAGAAACTCTATACAGAGTCGGAACTGGCTCAATGGCACTTAACAACAACTACAGCACAGTATCAAATGACCGATTTTAAAGGGTGGTAGAGAAGAACTATAAACAGCTTATTCCGAGAGAAGAATGAGAAGAAACAAGTAGGCTGGAGACTGAGCATGCTGGCATGAGGGATATCTCTGCTCCCACTTTCTACAGGGCCTTTATATCTAGATACTGAAAAACCACATGCTCCTTCTCCTGGAGGTAGGTATCAGTCACCCCTGGGATCATTTACCCCGAGGTCAATGAGGCAAGGGAAAAATGAAAACTCCTCTCCTAGTGTCAAGAGGGAACAAAAACTAAACAGGTAGTTGTTTCAGATAAAATGTACTTAGACTATTTAGAGGCATAGCATAAAGATAGAAATAAGACAGAAATCCCATCATCATCATAATAATATAAATGCTAACATTTTCAAGGCCTACAAGTTTCAAAGGCATCCTGGTTGCCTAATGGTTAAGTGCCCGGCTGCTAACCAAAAAGTCAGCAGTTCAAATCCACCTGCAGTTTCACAGGGAAAATGACCTGGTAATCTGCTTCCTAAAAGGTTACATCCCAGGAAACCCTATGGGACAGTTCTACTGTTGTCATATAGGGTCAGTAGGAATCCAAATTGACTCAAAAGAACGTGACAAATATTTGTTGAGCTACATCTT